CCTCCTCCTCCTCCTCCTCCCCGTCGTCTTCGGTGGCAAATGGATTGTCATACAATGAGGACATTGAATCAATCGTTGTAACACTATTAACAAAGATACCACTGTAACACTATTAACAGAAATAGGGATAGATATAAATAGATTGGTATTGGTTATTCGAGTTCTTTTCCTCCCGTTAAAGGCCAACCGTGTCCGTCTAGTGCGGAGGTATCCAGATACGTACCCAGTTGTTTATCACTTCTTATTATTATTAATGAGGAATCCCTACTATAACGTATTTTAGACCTACACACAGAAATTGAGGAGAGAAAAGACACAAACCTAGAATTTTGAGAGACTCAAAAGAAAAAGAAGGATGGTGAGTACAGTTAAAAAATCTTTTAAAAGACATGTTGATATCATTCACGATCCTAAGCCAGCAAGTTCTTAGATCTTTTACGCTTACTAGATCAAATGTTTCTTATACTCCATGAAAACGAATAAACTAAATAAAACAATATGCACGTTTTAATAAGAATGGAATAATTGAAAAACAAAAAAAAGTTTAAAAAACAATGAATAGATTTTCATAGTACCAATATATGGAAAACGATTAGATGGAGAAGAAAAAAATGTATTAAATTAAATATTCATAGAGTTATTGTTAGTTTACGGTCACCTTTAAAAGAGTGGGGCAAAAAAAAAAAACGCACATAACCTCTCCACACTTTGGACTTACTAAACAAAAAAGAGTATTAATAAAAATGAAAAAATGCTATCAATTCACCTTTAGTGATTATATTACTTCTGTTGCTAATCTTGTAATTACAATAAAGATCGCAAAAAGCATGGTTGCATTTATATTTAGCATGCACACAAAATAAGCAACCAAACTCGAAAAGAAAATAAACCCTCTATATGCATGGTAATGTTTTCCTCCTTTTATCCTTTGTAAAAAAATGAGAATCCCTTAATCTTCATTTTTTTAGATGCTACTGTCAGACATTCTTAAAAAGAGATTAAAACTATCTATAGATTTTTCACACGGCGCAATACATAAGAAGATCATTACAAATAAGCAAATAAAATATCTTAAAAATATTTGGTTCACACTGATATCCTGCAATGCGTGGTTCATCACTTTCACACATATTTGTGCTCTCGCACCCCCCAAGGAACTTTCTTTTATGAAGCTTTGACAACAACACTGTAGTAGCAAAACCTATGAACGCAAGATTCTATTGACTTTACATAAAATCTATATTTAAAGCAGTTCCCATCTCGTGGTGATTGTTTTCCCTTTACCTTCCATTAACATATAGATTGTCTTTATTACCTGTCAAATTATAGGTCCCACAACAGAAGTGACGTCGATGTTCACAACACGCCATAACAAACACACCAAGCGGTACCCTCGCACTATTAAATAGGAGATAATGGTCATCTATGTGTAAATTTAATAGGATTTACAAGGAATGTTATTTTTCCTTTCATTCCAGTGAGTGTGGACCTACAGCAAGATTAAGTGTATGTGAAGGAATTTATTATTATTATGGCACCTTGAAGGTACAATGTAAAGGGAAAATGAAGAATATTACCTGGGAGTTCGGGGGTCCTTTTTTTCCTCATCTGTGTGAACTGAAAATAAACTAATAGTATCACGTTTATGTTTCGACAAAGACACATCATCCCAAACTTTGCCGGTATCGAAGTACTCAAATGCAACCAAACGCCCTGGAGAATAACCCGGTGAGGAATTACTCGCTTCACGACTGCGAAACCCTCCACCCTTTATAAAACTCGCTTGAGGTTCATGAACTTTCTGCGGAGAGAAATAAATATGCTTCGGCTTCCATGAACTTTTCTCGACAATCTTCTTGACGTCCTCGATGTATTGCGAGAGCACCGTAGGTTCCGTTTTACTGCCATTAAAACTCCGCTCCTCGCTCGACATCTGGTAGGAGAAACTGCGCGAGGAGGATTCCGGGTCGACCCCGGACTTCACCGGCGGCTTGGCCTCCGCGGTTTCGTGGCCGCTGCTGCTGCCATCGCTTGGGAACCAGGGCGATGGGGGGTGCTCCTCCCCGCTCAGCAGGCGCCGCGAGAGCTTCCGCCCGATGCACTTGACGAAGTCGGCGTTCACCGGGACGCGGGTGTCGAAGCTGCACTCCAACAAGGCCTCCACAACCGTCGTCGGGCTCCGCAGGCAGGGCTCGGGCGACCATTTATTGCTGTACACCGCGGACGACACACTCCGGGCGGCGATTTTGCCGCTCCCCTCCAGCGATTTTCCCGGGATCGAGATGGACAGGGCGGGGTTCGAGAGGATGGAATCCCGCGCCGGGGCGACCTCCGCCGCGTCCGAGGAGATCGAGGTCAGGGAAAAGAAGCTGTTG